AAGTGTTAAATAAGAGAAATGTGTAATAGTAAAGGTCATGAATCTGAAATAGCATACCTTAATACATCGATTAATAAATGTTATCGACTAAATGTGAATTAGGGTAGCTGCGTGATGTAGTAAACCAAGAATGTAGTATGACCGTTAGACTCATATTAAGGATTCGAGTGTGATGAATTTTCTAATAATTGTAAAATATTACCCAAATACCATGCAATCTATTTCGAAGTATTGTTTATCTTGTCAATTGATTAAACTTGCAGTATATATATGAGCGAAAACGTATGATTTTTGCGTTTGTTTAAAATCTAATAGAGAATAAGCGTAGCGTAGTAAAAAGCATTCTCAGCTAACCAGCTTCAAGATTTTGTCAACGGTTTATACACTCTGTTCATGGCATGCAAAAAATTACAAAATCTAATTTTGTTTTTGAAATAATTACAATAAGAGTTAAATATCAAAGATTATATTATTTTTTTCAATTCTTTACCATATGATACATCCATACGGATAATAATTTTTGAAATCGGACCAAATAAATAATTACCAATAATATAGTGAAACTACCTATACTTGATCTTTATAATTGCAATTTTTCTTTCTTCTTTAAACACATGTTTCCAAAAGTCCAGTTTTTACGAATTGCAATCACTATATTCTTGAGATTTGTATCACTAAATTCATATTTTAGAACATCACCCAATCGAATCACGTATTTGCACACACGTCATTCTAAATGGAAGTTAACCATACACCATGATTTTTATCACTACGTTCCTGGTATAAACAGAATTAAAAGAACTAAATAAGAAAACTTTTATGATAGTATGAATTTAAGACTTAAATAACCTCTCTTAACATATCAATAAATTGAAATCAACACAAATAAATATAGAATTATTGCGGTTTGCAAAATTATGTGAAATTTGAAGATCATTAAAAAAAAAGTAATCACTGATTTCTGATTTCTTCAACATTTTTTTGACTTTTAGATTAAACAAAATTTGTGCAGTTATTATTTTGTAAAATTCTATTATTTTTATAGAAATAGAAGTGGCATATTCCTCATTGGATAAAATATAGTATAGGTGACACCTTAATAAATAATCAATTGATTTAAAGTAGGTGTCACCTATACTATATTTTATCCATAAAGGTGAAATTTTGTCAAGTCTAAAAGTCAAAAAATGTTGAAGAAATCAGAAATCAGTGATTATTTTTTTTTTAATGATCTTCAAATTTCACATAATTTTGTAAACCGCAATAAAAGCGATTTAAAACAATTAAATTAAATCAATTATAATCGATGTTTCCATTATAATCGATAAAAATCTCCATCAGCTTTAAGATGAGAATAGTTTGAAATCCTTAGATTTTAACTGATCCTAATCGGCTTTTAAAATTTCCCGATGTATGTGTCGAAAGATTTAAGTTTATTGCATCAGGAAGAATGGAATTGAATTTGTTGTATAAGAAAAAGGTGAGGGTTTGAATTGTTTATGTCAGTCGAAAGGGCTTGAGCTTGTTGTATCATGCTAAGATGAAGGACTTAAATTTATTGTATCACATGAAGTAAGAAATCTAAGCTTGTTATATCAGGCGAGAGTGAATGACTTGACTTTTTGCATCAGGAAAGATGAAATACTTGAGTTCGTTATGTCTTAACTTGTAAAAAAGATTTCATTGTTTTAATTTGTTAGTTCGTTAATGGGATCATTTAAAGTTTTTGCATTGCTGGTAGGGCTCAATATACTGTGGTAGTTTCCTTCTACTAATACTTCTCTTTTTCCTTGAGATATATGAAAATCAATCAGAATTGAAATGGTAGTCTATCACTTGGAATTTCCTAGAATATTGCCACAAAGATATAGATATCAGACTTCATATTGCGCTTAATTTAGGGTAAGTAAAGCACTGAAGTTCTATATTAGCCAGCATTTTATGAAGGTCGGAATTTGAAACCATGGATGTCTCACAATTTGTTTTGAGAGTCCAAATCTGCGATCTTTGCTTGTCCATTATCAATTACAATATTCTTTGAATGCTATAAAATAATATTATTATTGAAGTTATTAGATATTCATAAATCACGTTTGCAATACAATATACTTACAAGGTCGCTGTAAACAAGATTTTTATTGTGTAAGAACGTAATACCAACAATTTCCAATATGCAATTTACTTGCCCATCATAATCTTATAAATTATATTTCAGGTATTCTCGTAAATTTCTTTTACTAGCACATTGTAAATGTAACTCTACTATTGTCTGTTGAATTACAATAAATATTCATAATTAAAATGATTATTAATTACATATTTTATTGGAAAAAAGTATACCATTCATAACACTGTAAATAGTTCCTTATACTTATCGACTGAAAGTAAACATATAATTAAATGATAGTAATAAATTTCATGAACTTGAATACTGACTTCTCTTAAATATATCAATTAATAAATCTAAATTGATGCAAATAAATAAATCAGAGTTAAATGAGAGAAGTTGAATAATAATAAATATAAATGAATTTGAGCAGCCTACCTTATATTAATGAATAAAGGTTCTTTATTCCAAATTATAAGCTATTCTAAGTTACATCAACAGTCGTGCCTGGGTTATATTCCCTTATTTGAGCAAAATAAAATTCCTTTATTATACGGTTTATATATTGAGTGATATCCTACCTTTGCTATATCTTCAGAAAATTAGAAAAAAGGGGTAATATAACACTGGTATTACATACTAAATTTCACAAGAAAGTTACAACTTTATTTATTTAAAATTAGCATCAAATTATTTTGACAATTACAAAGATAAATAATTATGATGTCTAGAACTAAAGAATTTATTAAAGCAGTATTAATAAATAGTAGATTTCAAATAAACAAATAATATTTATTATAGCTTACTAAACTTTAATGTGGAACTGATTAATGAAGAGGCTTGTGAATTTTGATCACTGTTTTAAGGTAAATTAACATACAGACACACAGATTAATGGTAAACTCTTACAGAACTTTAATTATGGTTTTGAACTGTACTAACAATGAATTTTATAGTTACCTAAGTTAAAATGAAAATAGAATTTGAAAGATCCTAGTTTTTTATAAGCTTGAATTCTTGCTTCAAATTTATTAAAGAAATATTATTGATAAGTAATAAATCCTCATGCAAATATGTAAATGTGAATTTATTAACCAATTGCCTTCATACTCACCCAAATCTACGCAAGATAATTTCTAACAGATTTTAATGTCTGCTTTAAAAATTGGTGTTAATTGACGATAATTTCTCAAAACTTGTGACTCAAAATAAATGAATAAAATATCTTATATTACCAAACATAACACGGAAGAATGTCTTAGAAAGCATAATTTCTCTATTAAAGAAATGAGACATTATCCTTGCTTTTAATACTGCTCATGGTATCACGAGTCTTATTTTGGAATTTAGTAACTTTTTTTTTTTTTTTGCAATTTCATTGGTGAAAACTTTTGAGCTATAAGCTGTCTAAATCACACAATATTTAATATTCCTAGGAATAGTTTTTTTTGTTTTTTGGTTATAGAGTAACGATTAAGAACTTATGCAATATTACTGATACCTACAAATCTAATCAATGCTATCGTTATGATGTTTGCCGTCACTGCATTCTATGTAATGACTTAAAAGCAATGGAAGATTCCAACTTTTCTCTAAAATATATATATATAAACAAGTTTTTGAGAATTAGATAAATGAATACATAAATTATGAAAAAGTGATTATTACTTTCCTTCAGATTATTGCATTCGCTGATCATTAGAAATTGCACAACTTAGTCATCGTATTCAATCTATATGTAGATCATAGAAATTAAATTGTGTACAAAAGTGAATTGCTTCCCACCACATTAATGCTAATGTACTGATAAATCCTTAGATTGTATATTGATCGACTGCTAAATTGCAAAGAAGTTAGAAAAAATAAATAAATATAAAAAAAACACAACACTGCTAAACTTAACTCTAAAATATACTACATTTAATGCCTTTAATCAGTATATTCAAATGAAATAAAACTAATTGTGCTCTTAACTTCGGATTCGAATTCAATCAGATTTAATATCAAATCTTATATAAAATATAGCTCAGGATAGATATTTGGATGCAGATCTATACTAGATCATCACATTATACAGCCCTACACAATTACTTAAACAAATAAATAAAGCACAAAAGAAATATCAAAGTTAGAACAATTTTTTCACTGGTCTCAGTAAGGATATTTATTTGTTATTAATCTAAATCTTATTTGGACAAGTTCAGACATTATGACCCTTTCTATGACAAACACTACATTTTTTTTGTGTATTTTTGTGATTTTAAAAATCGATTAGTTGTGTAGGCGACACCACAGCATCACTTGACTTTACTAAAAAAGTAAATTATGTACGTAAGTAATAATATATTCATGTTGAAATGTTCATTGTTGAACTATAAAATGAATCAACTAATATCAGATTCTTCCGTATCAGATATTTCTCGAGCACATCCGTGATTTGAAGGCATTGATAATTCTTCATTATTGCTATCGTCATAATCTAAATTAACAACCATTTTAATAATATGCAGGCATATCAAATACAGACCATTTTTTATATTCCTTGTACTTTTTATTACTTACATTCACTATGCAAATATAATATTACGTAGCAGAATTATACATTAATTTAGGAAATAAATGAAAGAACATAAAGTTAAAGTCACACAGCCCTAATCGAATTTTATAATTTAGAAATTTTTTGAATTTGTATAACAAATTAAACAATCATAGTGCATTTTATAATTATGTGATATTCAATTTTTCCTATAATTTTTAAATGCTTAAAACTCAAACATTTCAAACTAATTATTGTTATACATGCATGTCTTTTATCAAAAAAAAAAGATAAGTTTAAACAAAAAAAATTGCTTAAGTTATGAGGTAGACACCTTACACCGTACATTACGTACCTTCAGATTTCATCATTTGTTTTATCTACATTAATATCTGATTTGTCTATTTCTTTGCAAGTTTTGCTATTATGGCCTTTTTTTTTGCATAGTTTACACTTATAGCTCATTTTTGTATTGGACTTTTCAAAAGAATTTGCAATTCTTTTTGATTTGGGATGACCTTTTAGTCTTCTTTCAATAGGATTTCGAATATTTGTTATACAATTATTATTGGTAAAGCTATGGGTTAATTCATCAAAGTTGCCAACTTCATTAATGACTCTTTTTGATGTTCTTTTCTGAATTGATGTAAAAAACCCAAGAACTTCATGATATATATCCTCATTGCTATCTTCAATTGCAAACCATAATTTTTCTTCCTAATCCCCAAAGTTCACCAAACTTGCGCTTTTTAGAAATAGCCTTTGATATTTTATCAGAAGATTGGCTTGAAACACTATTTGCTAATTTACCTCTATCAACATCAAATTCGTTATTCAAAAATTTTCTTGGCAAAATATGTGCTTTTGATGTTGATGTCAATACATTCATAAAAACAACTATGAACTCATTATTTGTTACATGTTTTTATATCAATATTTATTGACTAAACCAATATGAAATCTTGCAATGGGAGTTAGGGTCATGATATGATAAAAGTGACAGCATGGATATCCATGAGACTTTCTGAGCATACAAATATAAAGAAAAGTGCCATTGTTCAAAAGATATACAAAATGAGAAGTTCGGGACTTAATATATGCATAACTTCTCAGGATTCAAGAACGATTGAAAAATCTTGTAGAAGTGATTTCAGTTGTATTTGTGGGCAGTCAAACAGATTATCAATGCACTGTTTTGACTCATCAACTTCCTAAAGTTATGATCAGTTAAAAAAAAGGAAAATAATTAAATTTATAATATTGGAAAAATAGCCCGAATCTATTCTAATTGTAAAAAATATAGAATCTAGTATCTTTCACATTATAAATCTGTTTATTTCTATTGATAACAGCCCATATATTGATTCTGTAAATTCAACAAAAACGTCAAAGAAAAACATCAATCATAAAATTGAAATCCGGTTTTCTCTTGGAATCACCCATTTAAATATTATAAAATGAAGACAGATTACTATAAAAAATCTTACCCTCTCTTTAGAAAATATAACTTTGAGATCAACCTCCATAGCATGATAATAAAGACTCAAATTCATTTGTTTCTCCTGCTTTTTCATTATATTTGGCATCACAAACTCATTTAACTTTTGTACTACTGGCTTAAAAATAGTCTTTGCAGCATTTTTTGGACCAAACTGTGGCAAAGTTTGCTTCTAACTTACAAACTTGCAATAATCAGTTTCTTCTTGGTACCTTTCTTCTAAGGCATCGAACAGTTCACACAATGAAAGACTTGAACTTCCAAAAAGGCATTTTAACGTTGAGTTTTCACCTTCATTACAGGAAGTTGATTGTACACCAGCAGTGAAATATCTACTAGTAAAAGCACGTGCCCACAATTTAGTACAACAACCTAACATTCTCACTAAATAATTACTAGACTGTGGATAACTCTGTAGTAGTTTCACCCATCTTTATATAGATAAACATAATTAGATTACTTATAATACAAATCTTTATGAAATAATCATATTGCTATTTACTTCTTGTTAAAACTTTCTTCCATTAGACTGTTTCTCATAATATAAAAGTCCTTTATAAAATTATCATAATTTGAACCAATTAAACCCTTTAAATTTTTTGGTAAGTTTTGGCTTATGTGCCAAATGCAATGTATGTGGAATGTATCAGGAAATTGCGTCATAACAGCACCATTAACTGCTGGGTCACCATCTATCACTAAGACTTTTGGTGCTAAACTGGTTGCACTTATTACACATTTAAAAACCTATTTATACGAGGATTATGTTTCATTATCAACTATCGCTTGAGCTATGATTCGTGTTTTCAAATTATTATCAGGTATAATGAAGATAGACAAAGAATGATTATATCGATTGGTTTTGTATATATTATTATGTATAATTACATCGTAATAACGTAACCATAAAATTTGTTGTTCTGAACTTATCCAGAAGAGGTGAGTTAAGGAAGAAGTAACAGGATCAAATTCTATCAAAATAGCCTATCGGGGATCTTCAATTTTTTTTTCATTAAGTCGTCTTAACAACATTGCTGCGTCATCTTTACCCGGAGCAGAGTCATTCTGAAACATCTGTATTGTAGTGTACAAATCTGGTCGATGTATTCTAACATTGTATTTTTCTTTAATTATTCTGTATTGTATAGTTGCATTTGCTTTTGCAATAACTGTTAAAAACCTAATTTCTTCAACAATGTTTTTTGGCAGCTTTCTTAGCATTAGATCAAAACGACTTACTAACAGACTAAGTTCATGACCAACATGTTCGTTGTTAAAAGTTGTGACTTCCAAACAATTTTTGTTGCGTTTATATCAAAAATTAGCTTACCATGGACACCCTTACTCGACAAGATACTCCACTTGAATTTTCTGCTGGTTTTCCAGCATGGTGACACAAATATGTCCACTTTGTTACTTGTTGAGTTTCTGTATTTATTCTTTCACCACCACCAATTCGTATACTATAGCCTTTGGCAGCAGAATACTTCTTTATGAAGTTTGCTACTTGATTTCAATCCTGAAAAGTTTTGCTAACAAAAAGCTCTTCAGTATCATCAAAACTAAAATAAAAAATAGCATTAAGAGAAGGGATCAACTATAAAGATAAAATTTAAGCAATTATTTACCTATCAGTGTCAGAAAGATCATCTGTACTATTATACGCTGCTAACACCTCTAGTTCCATGTTTTCGTCTTGACAATTTGGCGTCTCAAATTCTACATCCTGACTATCTAACACCTCAGATCCTATGTCTTGATTGTCTAACATTTCAAGTTCTATGTCTTGATTGTCTAACATTTCAGGTTCTATGTCTTGATTGTTTGACTTATTCATATTTAAAAGTTTTTTTTTATTGATGTTAAAACAAAGCTGTAAACTATAATATAGAATAAGTTTTTTAAAAGAGGTTTGTTTGTTTTTGTTCTGTTCTTTTTTTTTTTTTCTATGCTTTGTTTTTGTTCTTGTTCGATTGTTTTTTTTTGTTTTATTTATTAAAGGTAGGGTGTACATAGATCATTTTTCATATGATCTACATGGTATATTAGATTTTTATATAGTAAATAAAAAAATGCTTCTAATAAAACTTTTT